ACGGTCTGACGAATATTGCTGAGGTATCACCTAGTGCTAGTATTCTCAAGAATGGAACTTGCTCTCTGTATTCTGAGAATGATGTGAAGCTCAGTCTAGGAAGCAATCACAGAGAAGACTGTCACATCTCGAACTCACCAACACAAATCTGTAAATCAGCCTACAGCATAGTTGATTTAAATAAACTTAAAACAGAAGTATGTTTTGAAGCACCAGTAAACTTGGAATCTGTTCAATTACTTGTCTTGAAGAATCACAGTTCACAGAATCAAGAGCATCATTTATCGATTGGATCAAATACTAGTTTCTTGGATGGGCCAGGTGATCAACAGGCTATGTCGGACTTGGATGCAGATGTACACACAAAAAGAGAATGGCCATTCTTTATTGATGACTCTGGTAATTCTTCGATTCCTTGTCTTGTTTATGTAGTCCTATTCATCGACTTGGTCTAAACCATTATTTACTTGTCAGGTGTCTCATTAAAGATGGCACGATTACAAACATTTATCAATAAATATGATGTCCTTGTATTATTTGATGCTCATTAAGATGGCATGATTACATCTTCAGTATTAGATGTTCATTATCGTGCATTTGATTGAATGCTTACTTAACACCGTCTGTTTTGTATACATATAAGTTTTCATAATCAATCACAATTCTGAAGGATTTCACTAGTTAGCTGACAACCAGCTTAGGTTTTCATGAACATATTATTAACATGGATATATTTGTGGTGCGTATCTGTTGGAGTATTGTGTCTTACCCCCATTTGGCTTTTTGACAAAAAGGAAGCAAGGTACCCAAAGTTTTAATTTTGCCAACACGGCACATGTCATGATGTGCTGGCATGATAAAGCATGAATTCCATGCTGGCTGCACAAGCCAGAAGTGTGCTAAATGTTGCAATCCTTTGGTATGACAAAAACATGCCTACACCATGCTGGCACAATAAGGCATGGACCAATTTTCCGAAACTCAAATCCATGATCATATGAACACCGAGATTGAGATGTGATGACAATTATTTCTTTTTTGCTGACGAGGCCAAGAGGTTCCGAGAATGTAGGATAAATTGATGGCTTGAATATAAGGACAGTATATCTCATGATTCAACTGGTTTCTTAGAATATCCACTGCAGAATGTTAAGAAAATATATATTTCAACCATAGAATTTTCAAGCAAATTATATGGTTATCAACTGCACAATCATTTAATTTCTCTTATTAAACCACTATAATAACTTGTAAATTCTGCCTTACCTACCTTTTAGTTGCTTCAATTTTTTTTTATTGTCCTTTTTCTTTGTGTTATGCATGGTATAACTCCTGCTTTCAGAATTTGGATGGTTATACTTCTCTGACCTGTTCAAACTTCCTTTTTTTTCTCATCATTATTTCTTGGTTTTTGATATACAGGTAAGAAAAGGAGCACTGTAGAATTTTTTGCTCAGACCTGGAATAACGGAAATGTGGGAACATCATGTGAAACATTACAATCGAACATTAAGAAATGTCCAAAAATATTTTCACTTGATCATAGTAACCCAGTGACATGTTCTGGACAAGAGCCAACTCATAGTATCCAGACATCCGTAGGAGTCCCTCATTGCACCTGCTCAAATTCCACTTTGTTGTCTCCTTTAGTGTCTTCTTCAATCACAGCTAGTGAGATCGACTTAACCAGCCATGCATCTTCATTTGTTTCATCTTGGAGAAAACCTGCCACCGGCATAAACAACAAACTCATTGCGCTTCAAGCACTTCCATGCTTCAGCGGATCATCAAATCCTAGTAATGAGAACTTGAATTCCAAGATAGATGCTCCAACTCCCATTGATTGTGAAAAGTGGCAGAGTGATGGGAACCAGAACACAAGCCTCCTTTCTGGTACTGGGGTGTCTCATACAAATGGATTTCACCATTATCTTCATCTGGATTCTAATTCAGCATCAGCACCACATCCAAAACTTGCATCCAAGCCAGACCAGATTGATGGCAGCAACAAAGATCTCCATGGTCATTTACCTGGAAGACATGTAAAGAGTTTCCTGAGCAGGGATATAGGCACTCCAATAAACATTAACCTAAACCAAGCATTTGCAACCAGTGTTGAAGCAAGGCTTGCTGTCAGACAGGATGCAGTTATTTGTGATGTTGACAGAAAATATGACAATTTGTCAGGGGGTCTATCTTGTCTTAGAATAAAACCATCTTCTAATGAGTCTGTTTACTTGAAGAAACATGCTGCCAAAGTGGATCTTAGCATCTGTGATAGACATCCTCCACTTAGTTCCAGCTTGATGGTTGTTGCACCGCAAATTGAGAGGAAAGGAGAAATGGAGCTAGATTTTTCTCTATGCAAACAACAGGATGTGGCATCAAATTCTCAGTTTAAGGATAACAAGATGCAGCAAAATCAAGTTTCTGATAGCTATGGGAAAAGAATTATTATTGATAATACAAGTCAGCAAAGCAGCATGCTTGCTTCTGTTCAACATATGAAACAACGACATTTAACTGACAATGCTAAGTCTATGGAAAATTATAACATGATTTTTTCAGACTTGGGACATGAAACAAAAGTTCTGAATTCACAGGAAAAGATTCACATTGGTTGTTCGTTTACAGAAATATGTTCTGGAAAAAACCGTGCAAGCTTTAGGAAACACATAAATGATGATCCTATATCTCCAGATATATTAACTCAAGGTGAGATCACAGTTCAGTCATCACACTACACACCAAGATTTGGTGCAAAAATTCCTTCTGGCATTGATTTGGAAGTACCCATATCTCAGGATGAAACTGTTATTTATAATCAGCATAAATACATTCCTTTAAGCAAGAATGATGGTTCACAGGGAAAGGACTACTCTGGTGATATACTCGTTAGATTTGCTGCAGAGAATTTAGTTTCTATCTCTATGGATTGCACGGGTCGTTCAGATGAAATCAATTCCCACCAGTTATCTCTGCCTGGACTTGACACCTTGTCTTGGTTTGCAGAGGTTGTATCATGCAGTGCAGAAAATCCAAAGCTGCTGAGTGATGGAGGAGATGTCGGTACTCAATCTTCAGATGATCATGGTTATGATTTCTTTGAGGTCATGACGCTGAATCTTGAAGAGATTAAGATGGATAAGCATTCCTCTAGACCTAAGGAGCTTGAGAACAAAAATGAAAAAGAAGACAAAGACGATATAGGTGCAGCTTCACTGCTTTTCACAAAGCCTCGGCGTGGTCAGGCAAGAAAGAGGCGGCAGCGAAGGGACTTCCAGAAAGATATCCTGCCTGGTCTTGCATCACTGTCGAGACATGAAGTATCGGAGGACCTTCAAACCATTGGGGGGATGATGAAAGCATCAGGTAGGCCTTGTCAGACAGGTTTAACTAGACGAAACACGAGTCGAAATGGCATGAACCCCCAAACAAAGGGAAGGAGGCAGCCTAGAAGTTTGGCCATTACCACTGAGGAGATTCAAGTCAGCCCCTCTACACATTCACAACCCAGCAATTGTGAGATAGGAGTCAGCGAAAGGTGTATGATCGGATGGGGAAGGACAACAAGGCGATGTCGTAGGCAGAGGTGCCCCCCTGGCAGTCTCCCTGCTCCATAAGGTAGAAAGCAAGCACCAAATTTGCCATGATTGTTCTATAGAGGAATTCAGACTGAGTTCTTTGTAGTGCAGGTGGAAGATGCTTGCACTGGTGAAATGTGGTTTACATATGTTCTTGATAACAGCTTGTACATTTCATAATAAATGCTGCATTTTTACCTGAAACTGAGAAGAATTCGACTGTAAAGAACTTCATTAAAACAGTTAATTCCATGAAGTCTAAGCTCATTAAATCAGTGCTGGTGAGGTCTGAACTGCTGGTATATATATATATATATATATATATATATATATATATATATATATATATATATACACACACACACACCTATTTTTGTCTATAAGGTCTCATTGCAAAGCATCAGAAAGTTTTTTCATGGTGGTCTTCATGATTCTCTGAGACTGGAATTTGATACCCAAGTATCTTAAAGATTGCACTCTGTTCAAAGATTCCTTACTGATATGATCTCCAGCGTGTGTATATGCATGCTTGCAGGATGAGACTATCTTAATGGAAAGAAGGTGATTGCTTTCAGAAATAAATCCCAGATTTTTGATACAGGCTTCAAAAATTGTTCTCCTAAAATTCAGCAATTTATTGCCATATAATAATCTGTCTTTTTTTTTTTTGTATAATGTACAGAAACCAATTAGTATGGCTGATTGTTCAAACATCATCATCATCATCATCATCAATTGTTTGTACGATCCAATCTCAAAAGTTTGAACAACAACACGTCTTGATCATGTAGATTATTAATCTAAAAATACTCAACTTAGATGGCAAGGCACTAAATGTGATGTCAATGGCAGCAGAGTTTTGAAGCTGCAAATACGAAAAACCAAAGAGGAAACTTCACATCCAAGTAAATTAAACCCATTAATAACTAAATCATTCAATTCGACCATTGGCTAAATTTATCATGTGATCGATTTGAAAGAGAGTTGGCGAGAGTGTTTGATGAGCATGACTTTGGATCTTTATTTTATGGCTAGTCATCCAGCTTCATGGCATGCTCATATGAGCTAAGCATATATTTAAGGGAGAAAATATATTTTCCATCTTGCACTTTTACAAGGCTATATGATAGAAATTATTGTGCATTCTTTCTTTCCAATATAATTATATTTTTATCTTATTGTTAATCCCCTTAAAAAAAAAGAGGAAATTATTATGAACGAGGTGTTAAACACTTCAGGCCGTAATAATCGTATTTTGTATTTTCGTCACCTGTTCTTAAAACACAAAACAGACAAATTTGATCCTAAAAAATCTAAAGTCAACGACTCCAATCACTGTCGTAGGGCCGGCATTTTCAAAGTCAACGAACGGGCATGCGTTTGACTTGACTTCGAAAGGGGAGGGGAGAACTTTCCCCCGACCAAGAACTACCACGGCGTCGGCCGCCTCCCAGGATCTCCAACTGCCGATTCCACAACCGAATTTGTCGTAACGCCATCTCGATCGACGCACCGGTGAAGAGTCGAGGCCCAAAAGGTCGTTCCTTTTCCACTCAGCTGCCATGGCGGAGCCCCAAGGCGGGGCTCAGCGGCCTCCGCCGCGGCCGGCGATAGCCCTCCCTTCACGCTCCTCCATGGAGAGCCTGTTCCGCCCCGCCGACGTCAGCCCCGGCCTGTCGAGCCTCTTGGCGGACCCCGACCTGGAGTATCCGTCCTTCTCGCAGCTCCTCGCCGGCGCCATAGGGCCTCTGGCGTCGGCGCCGCCGCCATTCTGGCACGAAGCGAGAAGGGAGTCCGGAGGAGGAGCAAATGAAGTGGCTTTGAGCCTGGGGCAAAGCCGACCGGTAAATCTTACGGCAACGCGGCTGCCGCTCATCACGTTCCCTTCGGGGATCAGCCCATCGAGCTTGTTCCAATCTCCTCCTTCACTCTTCTCCCCTGCGCAGGTGAGCATTCGAAGCTTTTCCTGCAACAATTGTTGTTGCAGGTGAAGGATTGTTTGGATTAATGCTTTAGTTAAAGAAGAAGAATCTGTGCGTGGTTTTGCAAATCAGAATTGACTTTTTACTTTTGTCACTTCACAAGTTCTTACGGGCGATCATATACTATTAAGTTAAAGAGACAGTCTGATAAATTTTACACGAAGATGGAGATGAAGTCCTCCTCATCCTTCATCTGTTCAGGTCACTTTTGGGTCTGATTAAAGTAGGCTTTAATAGGATTACTTGTTCTTTCTTCTTTTGGTTAGAGGATCTTTGACAGTTTGAGATCAGCAAAGACTTGTCTGATTCTGGAGGATGACAATGGCATGGACATTATCGAACAAAAAATTTGTGTTTTCCTCTGAAACGGGCAAATCATTAGCAAAGCCTAACCTGTGAATGTTGTTCGATGCTTTTTATGGATATTGTCAAACATACATACACTTTTTACATGAACAATATATTGAAGATGTTGTAAGATGTTTGAAATAGTCGGTATAATCATGTCATATATGAACATCAAATTTTTGGAACTACATGCATATTTGAGATACGAATGTGCTTGTATACATCATATTAACTTGCGAGATTGTTGTAGTTTAATCCATTGGTGTAGGATGAATATTATTTATGCTCATTTGGAAAAACAATGGCAAATAATCACATCTTGTTTGGATAATGAACTCATGCAGGGACAGTATGGAATATTGAATCAGCAGAACCAACCCCAAGCTACAGTTCAGGCTGCACGGTCTCATGCATATGATCCAACTTCATATTCTTCTACTCTCTCTGCAGCACCAGCAACAACAGCAGTAGCCTCCTTGAGACACCTGCCGACGCCTTTTAATCTCTCCTCAGCGCAGCAGATGCCCCAATATAACTCCACTTCTGAATCTGCACATGGTGATAGAAGATCTCAACCTTCAACCCTTGTTGTTGACAAACCTGCTGATGATGGCTACAATTGGCGAAAATATGGGCAGAAGCAGGTGAAAGGTGGTGAATATCCTCGGAGCTACTACAAATGTACGCATCAGAAATGCCCAGTTAAGAAGAAGGTCGAGCGTTCTTTTGATGGGCAAGTGACTGAAATAGTTTACAAGGGACAGCACAATCATCAGCCACCTCAGCAGAATCGGCATGCAAAGGAAGGTGGTAGCTTGGCAAGCGGGTCTAATGGTTCAAAACCTGAACCTGCTTCACAAGGTCTCTATGAAAGTTTCGGCAAATCAAGCGAGACTACATACAAGAGAAACTTGGAATCTGATCATGACTCAAGCAAGTATATATCGGATTCTAGTGATGATGAAGAAGCTGGAGAAATTGCAATGAGGACAGATGAATTGGATGAGAATCAGCCAGATTTAAAGAGGAGGTAAGATTTGTGACTATATGATCTGATTGTGTGTATTTTCCAGTTCAATCCATGACAGCTTCTTGTTTAATTTGGCAGGAAAATGGACATCAGAAACAACCAATCAGCATCATACTGTACAGTGACAGAGCCTAAAGTTATTTTTCAAACAACAAGTGAAGTTGATCTTTTGGATGATGGTTATAGGTGGAGGAAATATGGGCAAAAAGTGGTGAAAGGAAATCCTCATCCCAGGTGATACATCCTCTCTGACACATGATATTTTTCCACTATAAACATTGTGGTTGCTGTGGAGAATGGAGTTCAGAATTCAGAATGTCTAAATCGATGCAGCTTTCTACAATAATTTTTAGGAATAATTGTCTCTTTCTTGTTTGATCGATCTACTGCTACCAAATGTTGAATCAAATATTATAATTTTATTGCTGCTGCAAAGCCTCTTGATGTAACCTTACCTTTTAGATTTTACTTTTATGAGGAAATTTTTCTTTCCATCTTGATATAACCTTAGCAACCTTCTCAAATACATTCCGTCTCATGATTTACCTTTTTTGTATGATCGCATTTGTATCACATGTATGCTAATGCATTTTTTGTCTTATGAAACTTCAATCTTTCAATTTATACTGCTTGATGGGACATCCTACCATGAAGACTCTCCTCTTTTTTGAATTAGCTTCAAAACCATTAACCTCCTCTGCATCTTTTACATGTAATCTATCTGTAGCTGCTATTACTTGAATTAATTTAGAATTTGATGAACGATCAATCAGCTAGATTACAGTTAAGCACAGGGGACAACCGCACAGCTATTTTCAAATCCATGGACTATTGCTTCTTCAGTTTCCTCTGTTTAATTTTGTAGAATGATTATTTCTTGGCGTTAAGGTCTAATTTGCTGAAAACCGTCTCAGAACTTGTTTTCTGAGTCACCATAATCACAAGATTTGTGTAAATTTCATCATCTTTCAGTTGGCTTATCATGACACTCAAACTTTCTGATTGATCAAGATGGAGAGCAAATTTGTCACATCCAACTAACTTTTCAGAAGGATTTCATGGACTAATGATCTTGAGGAGTCTTTTGAAATGATTGTTACTGTGCATGGCTCCGGCAACTGGAACCACTATGGCGATGTGCCGGTTTCAAGTAGACTATATCTTGTAGTCCTCAGACTTCATCTAAAACTTCTGATGCAAATGCAGGAGCTACTACAAGTGCACTAATTCTGGATGCAACGTAAGGAAGCATGTCGAAAGAGCTTCAACTGATCCTAAAGCGGTTATAACAACATACGAGGGGAAACATAACCATGATGTGCCAGCAGCAAGAAGCAGCAACCACAGCATGCTGAATGCCAATGCTTCTGCAAGCATCATCTCTCCAAACACTCTTCATAACTATTCTAGAAATCAGATTTCCCTTGGTAGCACAGATTTAGGACACAATATCGAACGGCCAGTGGCGATCCAGCTGAAAAAAGAACGTGATGGTGTCTAGTTTTCCAAGTGACTTGCGTGAATACTTGTAGGATTATTATTGTCTTCCAATTTTTTTCTGAAATGATGGACATCACGGGACGACCTCAATCATCATCCGCATTGAGGCATGTTTGAAAAAAGAACATCAATCATCATCTAAATGGCGGCGGGGTTGGAAAACTTGATAAGATCTGCGTTTGAGAGTTGTGCAGCCTGTAACCAAAAAGTACAATGTGTGTTGTTTGTACTAGTTGTTGTATTATTCTTGCCTTATACATCTTTTATCAGTATCGAGTTCAGAATACTAGTTTAGCATTTTTGTACAGCTTGCATGTTCTACACAGAAAAGTAATGGCATGTAAGTGAAGAATTCCTGAATCACTTGTCATCAGATATAAGACATGGATGATTGATTTATTTTTCTTCCTAGAATGGATGCATTTTAGGTTTTTCACTGACCCAGTACTTATTTCTGAATATTGATCAGGATGTCAAGAATCCGTTTGTTTGGGTAACAGATGCCATTTTCTTTACTGTAACCCAATGTTACTACCCACACCTGAGAATCCTGTGAAAGGAGAAATTTTGGTTCAAGAACAGATTCATCATGCATCAGAGACATTTCTTTGTTACTGGAAACACCAAAACAAGTATAATTAACAAGAATGGATGATCTTGTGAGTGATTACCCAGCAGTAGTTTGTATCGCTTAAATCTGAACGACAGGCCTAGCAACAATTTAGGATCATACAGACTGTCACAAAAAAAACTCCTGATGGAAATAAAGAAGAATGAATAGAATATGAATTACACATGCATTACATTGGTCTAATCCTCTTACAAAAACCTCAACTCTCAAAAAATATCCCGATATCCAAAAGCAATCTCCTATCCTTTGCATTGGATTGGCCCATAAGGGAAGCCAATCATAGTCCCTTTACAGTATTCTTTAAAGATTAATCCTTGGATAAGTGAGTTGACGTGGCACTCACTGCCTACCTCCATGGACGGCACAAGTACAGAATCTTGTGGCTGCCCCGTCTCTATCGCGGATTCGCTCGGCCCCTCCACCAATTTGTTTGTTTGCTCGTCTCAGGCTCGCGTCCTTCTTCTCTGCTGCGCTGCAGAACATCTTCTTTTGGTGGAACGATTCGTTTCCCAAAAGCTTCTTCGATCCCTCTGCTGTGGGCTGACCTCTCGTGATGGCCGAGAATGGTGGAAGAAACCAAATGTTCGGTGAGGTCACCTGAAGGTGAAACAAGCCATCATTGCAGACCATGCCTTGATATTTTTTGTTCTATCTCACACTCGTGTTTCCATGAGAAACAGTGTGTCAATTCGTCAAAACTTGCGTCGAGATGGCAGTGTGGTCGAAACATAATATGAGGGACTACTAAAACGAAAGAGCACATGAACAACACTAGCCTTCATATCTCAAGTCGAATATAGTGTGCTACAACATTATACCAAGTTTTCTAATTCTCATTCCTATTTCCCACTTGCTGTTCGGCATACAACACATGTAAGATGCAAAATGCAAGTAATGTGGCAATAACTTGTTTCTCTATGTTCTGGGGTGACTTGTATCAGCATCATTTTCTTGAACTATTTTCATGTTTTCCCTTCTTTTCCTTCTCTTGATATAGTGGCATACTGCCAACAATGCCAGACCACATATTTGTGCAGAGGCCATGCTGTAGACAAAAATGTCACAAACTTGGTTCCTGCCTCCAGAAAACGAAAGATCAAAAGTCCAGTTCAAACCATACTTTTATGTGGGAATATCATAGAGTTGGAAGCTTCAAAGAGAGAAGAAACAGAGTCAAAGAGACAGACAGAGAAGACCTCGACCACTGCTCCTGAGAAGGCTTCGACACCCTTCTCTAGAACACTTTCCGAGTGTTTCAGTGTTTGTTCAGTTGGATGATGCGAAGGCGAGGCGGTGGGTGAGAAGACCAGGACACTGTTCCACTGATTGAGTTGACAACACCGCTTTCGTCTTTCATCTCTTCCGAGGAAGAAGAGGGGTTTTGACCACGTGGAGGAAAGAGGCTATGTGGAGTTGTGGAGCTCGGGATGGAAAGAGGGAATCCTCTTTGACTCGCCGCTTTTTTTCCCATCTTATTCTTCTCCGACACCAGCGCAGATGCTGTTGTTTTGATTGGAAACCGAGTCACACTTTCCTTGTCTCGTCACTCTCCTCTTCGCCCACCCTCCGCCATCATTAATACCGCCAGCAGCAATGGTATTTAAGCTCGCCATTGTCGATCAACACGACAAATATGGTATTTAAGTTTGGCGGTGGGAAAGAGCGGATGGGAACAGCCACAACTTCCAACTCTTCGACTCTTGTAACCATGAGAAAGAAGCCGAGGATAGTGAGTGGCATCTGCTTCTACTGGTCACGGCAGGTGCCTGGGATTCAACTGGTCCCGCTAACTCTTTCTTAACCTTACTGCTTCCATTTGATAAAACTGTGTTGACGAACACAGGTGAAGAAGGAGAAGCTGATGTCTCCCTCTGGCAAGGTAAGCTAATCGATCGATTGTCTCTTGCATCGATCCTCTTTCATATTCTTCCCTTCTCAGTTTGACTTCGACGGTCAGAACGGAATGCAACAGGCTGACACGACCTCAGTTCTCGGTTCTCTATCTTTGTGGTGGTATAAACTCACTCGGTGTTCGAATCACCGGTTCGCAGAAATTATCCGTTCCGTTTTGGGATAGAATTTATGAATCTTTGATTCGTCTACTTTTCAATCTGATTAAACGTATTTATTTAGACCTGTATTTTCATCTGATTTTTTTATTATTTATTTCTCGAATTTGAGATGATGTCATGCATAATTTTGTGTAATCCACTTGAGAGTTTGCTACTAAAATTTTTCTCTTTAATTCGAATCTAAATTTACATGGAAAAGTCTGATGCAGCCACAATTCGATTTCAGTTTAATTTACTGTTCTAACACCTACGAACAGAGGGGTTTCATGTAGCCTCTTTGAGTTGGTGATCCAGAGATCTCTTTCGTTTGCCTGAGAACAGCTTCCGTCGTTTCTTCGAGGTATGTTCCATGGCCGAGATCTCAGCAATGCTATCCCACGAGAAGAAGGCAACCAACCCTCATCTCTGAGGGCACACCGACAACCCAGAAGAACCCATCTTTCTCTCACTCGGAAGGCTTGGGTTCGCGGACGACGCCGCTTCCTGCGCTCGACCTGTTTGTTTATTTGCCGCAACGGAACAACATGAGACACGAGCGGCGCCATAGGCCAAGGCTGGAGGCCGGATGATGGGCTTTAGGCCCAACCGTCACCGACGCAACGCTCGCCTTCGCTGCACGTAGGAATGGCAGCAGGTTGGATGCTTTCAGCAAGTCGGAATTTTTCAGGTAACTGCATCGATCTAACCCCTTTTTTTATGTTGAATTATAGGATACCTCTGTTAATTGGGTTCATGACAGTAATGGATAGAGAAATAAGAACCCATGTCGGATTTGACACAAGTTGTTCAATGTTGTACATGACCGACCAACACTATTATGATTGTACATTAGAACACTTAGCAAATTCACATCTATGGCTGTAGTTCTAAACGAAACATATTTTCTTTTCAAAATCCTCTTCTTTTTGGTGATGAAATTGTTTGTGTATATCGAAGGTCTTTATGAAGTAGGTAGCAAGATATTCATAAATGACTTGGTCCAGTAACTTTGACTTTGAGATGTTGTCATTTGTCAGTGAACCCCATCCAATGGCAGATATGAGTTGATGATGGGTCCTTTATGATGAGATATTGCGAACAAGAGTTATCTCTTGTTGAAAGAAGAAAAAGTTTGGTGAATCCTCTATTACTATTATCGTATCTCCATCACCTGCTTTTGTTCATAAGCTTCCTGTGTACGACGGGCTACCCTGGAATGCCTCATTAGGCCCATCCAATTTTGCCACACCTTGTCCTCCTCCTCCTCCTCCAATGCTTCTGCAAGATGCTTTCTGCTCGCTCTTCTTTACAAGAGCATCTGCAGCTTTGTGCACCTCTTTACACTCGAGACTCACACATGATGAGTGGGCAAAAGTGCACAGTATCTCTGACACGGTCACATTCCCAATCTTCTTTACCGGATTTCTTTTCCCTGTCAATTCCTGCTGAAAGTTGTTCTTCTACTCGATATGATGCAGCACGCTCTTTATTTCTGCTTGTTGCTCTCGAGCAAGATTATGTGCGGTCACTGTACCTCCTTCTTTTCCAGACCAATTCATGCTGAAAGTTGTACTGCAAGTACAACCTTCCTATGATCCGTCTTAACACCGTGCTCCGAAAGAAGTACAGCCCAGTAGGACTTTGTTACGCTTCCACTCCAAGCATCATCAAAGCAGCACACAGTGGTGTGACACGGCAAACAACATGCATCTTGTTCATGCCCTTTGGGTACTTGTGCTTTCCCTGCAACACAGTCTCTGGTCGATGGACTTGATGGCAAATGGCACAAAGGAAAGAGGGGTGGGATAAAGACTATGAGCATAGTAAATTCATGTGAAAGTGGTAGCCGGGGATGGTAGCATCTGATCTCCCACCCCGCTCGGGCCGACTCCCATGTGCTTCAAAGATAAGGGAGTCCATGCATCATCCATCATGAATGCTTTGTTTGTTACTCCCTCTCCCTTCCCTTTTCTTAGAGTAGAAGGTAGGGGGCATGACTGACTTGTATATTATTAAGTGAATAGGGGGCAGAGGAACCATTTCATTAAATTTTATTTTGAGTTGAGAATGTATTTGATTTTAGTCAGTGGTCTGAACTGAGAGCACAAATAGGGTTCTAAGGTGCTAGTCCTGTATGGGTTAATAGTTAGTTAATACAAGCTCAAATGCTAACATTTTTACTATTCTGTATGTACACTGAATCACCCCCTCAGAAAGTTAAATGTAGCAAAAAAAAAAGAGGCTTGATCTAAAGTCGTAAGCAAATCGAATATGATCGATCAGCTCTGCTACAGTGTCATGTGCTGGTAATTTGTAGTGGAGAATTTTTATTTATTTTTGTTATTTACACTGACTGGATGCTTTGACTATTGGCGCTCCATTTAAGATAAAGAGGGATGCTTTGACTGCTTGACATGTGATCGGAACTGATTCCACTGCCGATCGATCGATCGATCTTATCGAAGTGATGGCCGGTGGCCACTGGAGCTTCACTTAAAATTCTGGGATTCACTTCATCCGACTCGAAGAGGAGAGTAAACCATCATCATCATAAATGGCATTCTCTCCTTTGGGGCCGTGTCTTGGATACAGCACGACTCATGAATCAGCGTCGTTGGGGCTGTCTGTCATTATAATTAGAGAGACCACTTGATGATCGACACAGGCCACTTGCTCAC